GAATGCCATTACTATCCCATCACTTATGCGTTGTTCCTACCCCCAGAAAAACTTACAGCTTAAAAATCCTTTATTATTCATCCAAATTTTATTGGCTCCATGGTCAAAAAGGCACATCCTACCCCACACGTGTATTCCTGCTCCCAGAACGGAGCCACAGCCCAGTCAGCCTGCTCTTCCAGGAAAAAAAGGGAATATGTCGTTTGCCAGAAATGTCAAGGCACAAAGTGTGCTGGGCCAAGGCTAAGCGATGATTTCCACTGTCAACAATTTTCCTTGCTGTCCCCTCCTCCTTTCAAACTAGGGACATCTGTAAGCAGAAGCAGCCCCCTCTCGCCCTGGCCATCACCGGTCCTAGGGTAGGGCAAAGAGGCGTTTCGATGCCTCCATGTTAAACATTGGGTCTTGTTCACAACTCAGATCACTTGAAAGGCGCTGAGGGTTACTAGAGAACGCCAAACCCCAGTGTGATTTTGGTGAGCTGGAAGTGAGATTCAGGGTCTGGCTCTATGGCAAGGCAGCGTTGCTGTTAGGGCACGGCCCCGATCTGCAGCTCCGATCTATCCTATCCCACGCTCGACTTCAGCCTCGATGGGGGACCCCCGGCAGCGCGCTCGTCGTGCCTCCGTTTCCAGTGGGTTGATACAGCGCCCAAACGTCAATGGGAAACTTGTCTTGGAAATTAGGCTGTATGCCTTTTTCTGATTGGCTGAGTGAACAATGGCCTCTGTCACATGGTCACAGACAAGTCAGCTGTAAAAACAACCCAGGCTCTTGCTTGGGGAGGCAGACGCCATGGGAGATGTCTAAGGAGGAGGTAATTTTTCCCAGGCTTAGGAGCTATAGATAACCTTCCCTGCGAGTCAGAAGACCAAGGCCTGCTCTGCACGATTCAGGGCCAAAGTAACTCGGGGCGGGTTAACCGATCCATTTTTTTTTTTTTTAGTTTTGAATGATGCTTTCTCTCTCTCTCTTTCTTCAGCAAATCTGTTTCCGATTTGGCCTCATCTCCCCTTCTGTTCTGGACTCCCACCCTAGGTCCTATCTGTGAGGTCAAAACCTTATGAACGGACAGAAACTAGCTGTGCTTTTGTAAGGAAAAGGTCATTAAGGTTTACCATGAGGGCCAAGCTCCCTCTAAAACACCGTCGGAGAAAATGTCCTAGACGCAGAGCTTTTTCTTTTTGGTCATCTTACTTTCTTTCTTATTTCTTTGCCCGGAGCCGAAGTAATACTGTAGACGTTCACGTCATATCAAATCTAGATGCTGCCTCTCCTAGGGCAGTGTTTCTCAACCTTTTAAGTAGCAAGTACCCCCTAACTTCTGAAAATTTCAATAAGAACCCCAACATGGGGATTTTATATTTATGGACTAATGTGTGCCATATGTTGGAAGAAGGGCTGTGTATATAAGGCTATGATGTGACAGAAGTCTGATCTGATGTGGGTAGGGTTGCCACCTTTTGCACCAGGGTTGCACAACTCAAGTATGTACTTGGGCTAGAGGTGATGTTGGCCAAAGCTAGGAGGGCTGAACACAAAGTTATTACTGGGGAATTTATTTTTTTTTTTTAATTGCACCAATTTTTTTGCCATAGATTTGAGGGCGAGAGAGAGAGGAAAAGAGGGCAAGAGAGATTGCGTCGGGGTACCCACATACCCCCTGCCTGTGTCTCACATACCCCCAGTGGTACACATACCACAGGTTGAGAAACTATGTCCTAGGTGACTAGATGCTGCGTCTGCCTGAGGCACAGACCGAACGAGCCGATAGATTTATTCCACGTCCTACAACAGGGATCCTACAAAGTTTGCCTAGCAGAGCCCATAGAGACAGAAATGAAAGAGAGATGGAGGGATTTCAAACTCCCTCTTGTGGTCTCCCAGGAAGCCACTCTGCCTTGCATGGAGACGTCTGTTTAAGGCTTTACTGCTCATTTTTGTCTTCAGGAAGCAATCATGATCAGCTAAGGAGGGAAGAAAATCTATGGCAATAGAAAGGAAGGAGAGGATAGGGCCAGATCCAAGATTTGACAGTTCATAAATTGCCCAGAGGCAGCTTTGTTATTAAAGCCAAGCAGGTGAAATATCCCTCGTCCCCCAACAGCCTCGAGCAGCTACAGAAAAGAGTCCTGCCTGCTAGACAAAGCGTATTCAAACTCATTTGAGCCAGAGGAAAGAGTAGGGCAAAACTATCTTCCACCTCCCCGGGTCACCTGGACACTACATTTCTTGATTGAAACTGTTGTGGGAAGGAGCCGAGACAGGAACTGGACAATGCTGCTCCCTGTTGGTTCCCACTCTTCCTGCTTTGCATGGAGAAAAAAAAATTTGGCCGAGCCCTTGTCTGGGGTTGGTTATTGGGACCGGCAGTTTCAGTTTCATTTTTCTCTTGTCAGATTAAAGAAGTGAAAAAGAAAGAGGGGCAGAGCCCGAGAGCAGCCATGGAAGACGAGAGCAAGTTCTGCCCAAACTGGTAAGAAATCCCTACTTTTTGCCAAGTGCCAGTGATACCCGAGGGGCACAGGGGCTTTGCTGATCTCCTTTTCGGGGTGGGTATTGCATGCTTCTCTCCCTGAACAGAGAAAGCCGAGGGGAGGCCAAGGAAACAAATCGGAACAGCCGATTGCTTTGTGTTGCCCTTTAACATCTAAGTATTTTGAAGACAATTTCTTTTCCCTGACTGACGGCTAGATCCCCCAGGCAAGATCAAGCAGTGCTTCTCTGCTGCCTACTGTGTCCCTTGCCCTGCTGCTTAGGACCTCTCTGCCTAAAAGATTTGGCAGAGAGGGGCAGCTTGGGTCAGCAGTGCTGCGTGTCCAGCACCCAGGACAAGCGGCTTCAAAGAGAGGGGAAAGAGAGCTCCATAATTATGGACTAACCTGCCCGCCGGGGAGGTGTGCCCTAAAAAGGCAGGGGCTGCATCAGAGGTCAGCAAAACGCGGGCCAGATGCGGCCCGCCAGGCCACTCTATCCAGCCTGCAGGGCCACTAAGAAGTTTAGAAAATTAATATTTATCTGCCCCTGGCTGCCTGTCATGCGGCCCTCGATGGCTTGCCAAAACTCAGTAAGCGGCCCTCCGCCCGAAATAATTGCCCACCCCTGGGCTACATGCAGTCTGTTATTCCCATCAGTGATGAAGCTGTGGGTGTTTTCCTGCAGTCTGGAACACAACCCAGTACAAACTCGGTCCCTGCCTCAGTTTCCCCTTATGTCCAATGGTTCTTTCTGGTATCAAGGCAACTTAGCTCTCCAGCTATAAGCCAAAAAGGTCACTATTGTGGGGGGCAAACTGTCCATCCCTCTGTTCTCCCTTTAATGTCTGGGATCCCTTCACAAAGCAATAGCTTAAAGAAACTAGCACCCAGCCTCTACTATAGACCTCCAGCCCTGGAGCCACTGAACACTGCCTGCATTATCCCTGGAACGCTGTGAATCCAGATGTTGCTGGTCCCCTCTGATCATAGGGCACAATCCTGCTCTCGCACCAGTGTAACTCAGTTGGAGTTATTCCTGATTTGCACTGACGTAAAAGCACTCTCTCATTTTGGACCCACATCACCCAACAGGGCCCCTGTTCTCTTAAAGATGTCCCCAGCAAAAGAGTAAAGCCTCCGTAACGGAGCTGAGTCTTGGAAGGCTTCATTTGAACAAGACACAAGTATAAATACCTGATGTCTGTTTTCTGGGATCGGCCAGGTGAGTCGTATCCAATCCCATAATATTCTTTCCCTTTCCGTGTCACACAGTAAACAAGATGTGTCTGCTGCCAATTTCTCTCTGCACGAGATCCACTGCCAACGGTTCCTCACTGTCTGCCCAGACTGCAAAGAGGCTGTTGCTCAAAAGGAAATGCGAGAGCATCAGGCAAATGCACACAAGCAGGTGAGAGCTCTTCACCTTCCAACAAAGACTCTGACTGTCAGTTCCTGCAGTTAGGAGATGCACGGAAATCACGCCGGGCTATGCTGCTGCACGGCGAACAGCCACGAGCATCTGTATTTGTTGAGGAGAAGATGTGTCAGGGCCCGATGCAACACTATAGCTCTGTCCACAGCCCCCTTCTCCCCAAAGGGCAACTGTGCACTCAAGTCAAGGGACTCCGTCTGAGAATCTGCTCTTTTGTATTTAAGTTAATCTCCAATAAACACGGGGAATAATCAGCAGGTAGCATGATGAACTCCTGCCCGAACAGGAAAATCCTACACATTGCTCAGTTCCTATAGGAACAAGGTTCCCTATTTGCTTTCCAAAGATGGAAATAGCAGGGAGTCCATCCTGGACGATTTCACCTACAGAGGTAGCAGGTTCATTAGATAACTTGAAATATTCTCTATAAACTGTCATTTATTTTCCTTTAAGTATGCTACTATTCTGTCACCCTTTTCATTCAGGTCAGGTGTAAGCTTTGTCACCAAAGCCTGCAGCAATACCAGCTGGAGAACCATGAGGTGAGTACATTGCTCTGTGTGCAAGACCAGAATCCAACCCGGCTGATCTCTCTTAGAGACACTACAAAGAGATGGCTTCCACTCCTGGTGTAACACTTGCGACTATTCACTTGCAGACCGTGGAATGCAGCGAACGAGTTATGAAATGCAAGTTCTGCGAGCTAGAAATGCCCTTTGCTAAGCTGCAGGAGCACCTCGATTCCTGCGGTAGTCGAACTGAGAAGTGTTTCGGCTGTAACAAATACATCATGTACAAGGACCTGGACCAGCACAAAGACATCTGTCGTAGTGGTGATGGGCTCTCAAATCATGGTGAGATTCACTTTCAAATTAATAATGCGACTCCTCTAGAAACCTTGGTTCTTCTAAACTCAGGTAGCCCAAATTCCTTGTCATCACCCACAGCATCACGTTACTACAGTATCCGTTAATCACATGGAAAATTCCCACCTACACTCTCCGAGTCCCAGTAATGCAGGTTGCCTTGTGTAATGTGGCCCCTGCCACACATTACATATATTATACAATTAACTGTGGTTAATCGCACAATACATTCAGACTGGTCACTTGTGCAAAGTAAGAGCAGCCACATGTGCAGGGTAATTATGCCATAAAAATGTCCATCCAGCTGTAAAAAAAAGAGCCAACCAGCTACAAAGCTAGTGCTTGAAAATGTGTAACAAGTTTATAGCTGGCATCTATCCAGCTTTCATTTGAACATGTGAAAGGGCCCTGCGATTAGGATCACAAAGGATTATTGCTTATCTTGACCAGTTGAAGGACCACATTTTATTCTGTATTACATCAGCGAGTGTAAATCCAGAGTAATTTTGATTTGCTCTGGATTTTCAGAAGCATAATTGAGAAGCGCTGAGCCTTACTTATATAGCTTGGCTCCGACACCTAACAGGATCTTAGTATGAGTATCACACCCACCTGCTTTTTAGTTTCAGGGGCTAGCATCCCCTTCCTTGTTCGCCCCCAGCTCACATGGATTTTAAGGAGAGTCTTGGGTGTGCACACACTGGGAAGACAGGGCCCTTGGTACATCAGGGCTCACTCCAATCCTATTCAACTGATCCCATCTTGAGTATAACAATCTAGTTTCTAATGCAAACTAGTGCAAGCGACTGTGAACAAGCATCTTTCCCAACCTGCTTTGGAAACGCACTACATACAAGCTGGAAGCCCAGCTCACACTGTCATTTGGGTTGGGCTTATTTACCAACCTTGGCTGCTCATGTAATCGGGTTCACTTCTCTCCTGCTATCAGCCCTTTGTAACAGAAAGCCATCTTCTTCCAAAAGTCAGTATAATCAAAGGGTTAGACGAGACAGAGGCCGTCTAGTACAACCTTCCCCTGCCACAGATGTGGGATGCGCTGTTCCTAAACTAATTTAGGGGCAAACAAAGAATTGAACCCCTCTCTCAAATCTCAGCCAACAGCCCTCTCCATTAGGTCACCCCTCCTGCCTAACCCTTTCCCAGCAGCTTGGAGATGACCTTTGCAGTCCCTTTCCATTAACACGAAGGAGTGTTTTCCGGGTTGTCTGGTTACAGAGGCACCGAAGAACAGCACAGCTGAGGAAGCCCGTCTTCTTACTGAAATACTAAAAATGAGGCACACAATAGAGGCGATATGTACTTGCAGTGGCCTCACAGTCTCTTGGGGGTGGGGACGGTGTTGTATTACATCAAAGCAGATACCCGTCAGGCAGGCACTTGACTAGAGGTGATCGTTTGTGAACCTCGCCAGCGATTCTGCAAAGAGAAAACAAGACCTGGTTGACAGGGATATATACCTCCTCCATAGCACGGCACTGGCAGAGATAGGCCCAGTTACACCCTAATATTCAGCAAGAAGAGAATCTGTGTGTGTTTGATAGCAACCAGCAGTGAAAGTCAACCTCCACCCAGCCTTAGGCTCTGGTGCGGGGAAGTTCAATAATGTTTGGATCTGTTGTCTCCCTAGACGGTCAGTCATGAGGCTTTGGGGTCTGTGTACATTATTTCCATAACCAGTCAGTCCCACATTACCAATCAACCTCTCCCCCCTTTCTTCTCTGAAGGTCTCAGTGACAAACTTTGTCAGCTGTGCAATAAGTCATTCCCAGATGACCAGTTCCTCCAGCATCTGGTAAGTGACTGGAAAGCCAAATCGGGGCTGGCCCTCATTTCTGACTGGGCTCTTTTTGTGGGAAGCGACGTGTTGGGTAGAGTAGGACAAGGTCTTTTGGCTGCTTGCTTTCCGCAGCTTGCAGGTTACTGCCCTGTGAATGCGTTGCAAAAGCGACGCTGGCCCTTGTGTCCCGAAGGCCTCACTGTTAGTGCCAGCACCAATTAGTACCTGCAAGGCTCTCTTCTCTTACAGCTGAAGCATCATGCAACAGGGCATGTGGGAAGCACCAATACACCCCTTTGCCTTTCCCACTGTCTGCCTAGATAATAGCAGCTGCAGCTGTTCCTATTGCTTAACCACTGTAGCAGAGAAAAGCCCCGGTTCCTGCTGGGCAGTTGCCTCTTCAGAAGACTGCCATTCTTGAGTTAACAAGAGAGTTAACAAGAGATGTTGCCCTGGCTGTGGTGGTTCCCAAGGCAGTTCCTCCACTCCTCTGTGGAGCACCTATCTAACCTCCTCCTTCTATAAAACAGCCTGAGGCCCACCCCTTCCCAAACAGTTGTGGCTTTGATCTGCAAGCCCTTCTGTCAAACTCTTTAGTTTCAACTTATTTTCCATCTTTTTTAATTCTTTCCTAGGTTATGTCCAGACACATCCTACTTCCCAGCAGAGGCACCCATCCTCACTGTGCTGCTTGGTCATTTCCTTTGCTAAGTTACCTTATTCTTTTGGATTTTTTTTCCCATAGAACCAGTGCAGTCCACTCGCTAAACTGGTGGGGAGTCTCGCCAGCCTGTCAGCTACAAATCCCAGCCCGCTTCTGCCACCCACTGCTGCTTTTCCAGCTACCACTTCATCCCCCGTGAATGCGGCCGCATGGAGGGATGTCCGTCCAAAAGGGAAGGACAAGGACTTGTCCTCTGCCTCCCGGACCTCACTCAAACCACCCAAGAACAAGAAGTCACCTGGCCATCCGGCTTTCTCGACCACTCTGGATCCGGTACTGCCTCAGGCCCTTGAAGACACAGGGAATTATGATATATTGGTGACCTGTGCCCGTTGCAATATCCTCCTCCCACTGCCAACACTCAAGAAGCATGAGGTGAGAAGGGCTCTCCTTACAGAAAAAGGAGAAACCGCACTGGGCTTTCTTGGTGTTTGAGAAAAACAGAGGCGGTTGGGATACGCTGGGATTTTGGACTGACCTTAGGCTATACCAGTGATACCTTAGATCCCATTCACCACTAGTCTCTCCCATCATATTTGTATTAAGAGCTGGCAATATGCCCAGCTATAAAAAACACAGAGCAGACAAAGGACCATTCTCTTTATACAAATGTCAAGAGAGTGACTCCTCCTTCTTCAGTAACATGGAATGGAAATTAATTGAATGAGAATCTGGCACAAAGTCCTTACCTTTTAGTTATTTCTTCAGGGAGCAAATATATCTGGGGTGAAGCCACTCGCCATCTTACAAAGCCACTTACAAAGACCACATACAGGTTCTCATTGTGCGTGGGGTCACACACCACCTGTGACTCTGCAATGGCATTTAGGGATGGCCACAGTTTACAGGAGGTCATAGGCATGCTCTTACATAGCTTCTGGATACAGAGGTGGCAATTGCAGCTTAAAACTATCTTTGCCCTGAGCTCTGTCTCTAATGCAGGAACAGAGGAACTAAAAACCAGGATCAGACTCAAGGGTCAGATCCTAAGAAGTGCTCTTCACCTCCCTTACCTTCCAATGGCTCGGACATTTCCAAACAAGGAGGACGATTATATTTAAGGTGTAGCAACAACAAAGCTACCATGGAGCAGGGATTACTGTGTTTTAACAAGTATGAATAAACAATGGGTACTATTCCTTTCTAGCAGCATTATTTTTATTTGTTTAGATCAAGTGCCTTCATTCAGCTTCATTGCAAAACGTCAGGAGGAAATCAAAGTCAAGCCCTGAGAAACAAGGTACCGGGTTGTTCCAATAAAATGGGATAAAATTCAGTTAAGAGAAACATTTATAGCTACTAAATGCTGGATTAATAGAGGATCTCACATAGCAAGTGTCTCTGGAAGTGCAAAAGGTCAAAGAATTGCATGGCACTGAAGTAAAAATGTCAAGAAAGTTTTTGATGGAGCCACACAATCCACTGTGACAGAAACAGTGCTACACAACCCATTTGTCAGTATAGGGGGCAAACAGGAGGGGGAAAAAAAAAAAAAAAATTGTTACAAGTTAACCTCAAATGGAATTTTTTTAGTTCTCAGAAAACCAAGAGGAAGGCAGAAAATAGATTAAATTTGGAGCTCAGTGGTCCTTTGGAAAATGAATTTTGCTAAATTCTGAAAGAAGGTGCTGGTTTTGAAACAAAATCATTTGACTTCTTCAATTGGGGAAAAAAAAAAGTTCCAGCATAAACTATTTTTCAGATTTACACACTGGTTTGGATCTCCCCAAATGGCATTTGTCAGTGAATGAAGGTCACCAAAATAAATTAAGGTTCTCTCAGTTCTATTTGGGGATTATAATCTGTATAGTCTTTCTGAGTTGTTTGCGCAGCAGAATTTCTTTATTGTTTTTCTGTAGTCAAAAAAATGAATGAAAACTAAGCGCTTACATAAGGGGTGCCTCCAGTCTAGCAAGGGGTGCCTTAAGTCTAAAAAGGTAAAGAGTTATTGCCCTAACTTAGTGGGACCAGCTGGATTTACCTGTTGCTGTATTGGATTTGCCTGAGGCCGCACAGAAAGCCCGCGGCAGGGAAGAATTAGAACTTGGTAGCTTCTAACATTGATTTTATGCTCTTTCTACTGAAGTACCACAAGTTACCGCAGCATTTCAGAATCTCTGTCCCATCAGGCTGCTTAAAAATGCATCTGTATAATCCCAATTCAACTGCATGTACGAATTTATATATAAACTCTATTTTCTCTCTTTTGTAAAGCATGAGGTCTCAGCTGTCCAGCAGAATGCATTTTTAGCACTCATAAATGTATGATATAAAATTGTTTCTCAGTGACAGGTTTTAAGTAACTGCATCTTACTTAATGCTTGCCAATGCTTGTGCCACACACACACACACACACACACGCCCCACTTTAATTATACCAGCTTGGTTAAAGCAGTACAGTACCCTTGCCCCTACCTAGAACAGTTTTACCAATGCAATGTTGGTTATGTCAGGATAGCTTATTCCTGTACAAAGGAGCCAAGGCACTTTTATACTGTGTAACAGCAAACACATTAGAGATAGAATATTTTTTGCTGGTTCTACCCCGAGCGAACACAGTTATACAGGTACAAAAACAGGCACAATTGGGTGCTAACTGTAAGGACATTGGGCCTACTCCTGCATTTCTTACTCAGGCAAACCTCCCATGGAAGACTATTAGTTTGCATAGACAAAGAGGAGCTATGTCATTTCAGCCACAATTACCTGCATTTCACATTAAGAACAAACAAAAAGAAAAGAGGGTGCAGAGACTGCTCAGAGAGTCTGCGCCAGACTAAACCCCAAAAGGCTGCCTTTCCCTGTACACAGTGTATTTAAAAGATGCAGTGCAACTAAAACAAAGGCAGGATTTACTTCCATATGAAGGAAATGAGTTTCGCTGGCTTATGAATTACAAGACTTCACCTTGAAATAACTCTGTCTAATGACATGGTTTATACCGCCTTTTCTTGTACTACTTGAGACTGTTCTAGTGAACTCAGCCAAAAAAGAAAAAAAAAAAAGGGGGACGTGAAATTGTAAGCTACCCAGTCCTAGCAAAGAAACACAATTATGTTTTATCTCTTTGTTTTACAGAGGAGTCTTTCTAAGGCACTTCTGGGAAGAACTGGAAATGAATATCGTCCACCAGTTCCAAGCTTCAGCTCAGCTTCAGTAAAGGCATTGCAAGTGCACAGACATTAACCTGCTTTATCCCTAGAGAATAAAAGTGACGTTTCCTAAACGAGACAGAGAACAAAGAGCCACTCTCTGAAATGTATTTTGTACTAAATGGGATTGCTGTTACTTTACCTCCCAATTTGGGACAACTGTGACCTAACAACCTTATCATTAATGGGTGGGCCTCACCTAGTCTCTCCACCTTCTGAGTTTCATGGCAGTGAACAAAAGCAGGCTCTGCCACAACAACAGGGGTAACAACCAGCTCCACCTATTCCTGAAGAAGTTAAAGGCCAAATTCTCCTCTCAGCTCCACGCAGACTTTGTAGCTGAAGTTGTACCAAAGTACCTGTAAAGAGAGCTCAGTCCACAGCGCTTCTGCTGAGGCCACTGCCAATGTCCAGTGATTTGTAGCCGTCGAGCTGCGATGCACAATGGGCACCATCATCCTTTTTCATTTTCTATATCCGTGAGCAACATCAGAGAGCCTTGCAGGCCACATACTACCTACAAGCCATGGGTTGGGCCCCAGTGCTCCAAAGTGTTTGCTGTCAGACCCCTCAAAGGGTTTGGGGGAGTTTAGCTATTGTGCCTGGACACGCTCCATCACAGGTATGTTCAGCACCCAGACAGGAACAAAGTGAGGGCAACGGTGCTCGAGTTCAAGCTGCAAAGTGAGTGGGGGAGTAGCACCAGTGACTCCTGAGTGCACTTTCTTAAGTGTGAACATGTGTGGATTGCACTCTTGCTAATCCATCTCCATGTGTTTTGGGAGCACTTCTAGCTATGTGCAATCCTGCACATTGGCTACTGGAACCAATACAGGGCAAGTACGCGAGAGTAAGTGCTTTCTGGCCTGGGTAACCCGAATCAAATTTGGAAAGGGATGGATGCCGATTTACAGTATCCGAGAAAGCCAGGCTGCTAAGCCAAGAGTACCTGCTGGATATCCCTTCCTTCAGGCCACCCATACCTAGATGAGGAGAGCACAAGTAAATCAAATCTTACTGCTGAAATGAAGCCTGAAAGATAACTTGGAGAACATTCTGCAAAATTGTATTTGCAGAAACAGCCAAACTCACTGTTTCCACCCAAGAGACCAGCAGGCTTTTAAGAGGTCACCTCTTTCTGAACATCCTACTCAAACTAGCAAACAGTTGTACATTATGTAATACAAACTACCATGCAACTGCTTTTGTGAAAAAAAAATAAAATACAGTGACTCTGAAGATTAAAGCCAACTCATTTTGCATGCAACTTCATCTTCGGTTACTTCGTGTCCTGGGTTTGTGTTCAACATGTGCATGGGCCAATAATGCATTTAGCACCCTGGATGCTAAATGCATTGGATGCCAATAACGCATTTAGCACTCTCTCCTACAGCTCCAACCATCATCAACCTGGGCTAACACCACTGGAAGGTCAGCTCTCTGGGGTGAGGATTGTCTTCTGTATCTCTGCAGATCTTAGTACAACTGGGTTCTGGGCCAGAGTTAGGATTCTGAGGCATTACTGTAATAAATTGTTAATTAAAAGGCTATTGAATGGCATGTGCTAAAATAATGTCTATCTACAAGCATTTGCAAAGCACCCAGGATCATGGAGTCTAGATCTAGAGTGGAGTCTTTGGGGCACGGACTTATTTTTGCCAGAAATCAAGGATAAATAGGCCTGGCTTTGAGTGGAGCAGCCAAGCTGATGCCTAGAATCTAAGTCTACATTAAAATAAATAAATAAATAAATAAATAAATAAATAAATAAATAAATAAATCTTGAAACTGCTGGTTACAAAAGGAAAAAACCCCCAAACACTTTAAAGCTGTGGTGATCATCACCTGGAGTGACACCGATACAGCTGTGGGCAGCTTGCAACTTTAGCCCAAGTTGCTGGGAACTATTCCCCGTTCATCTCAATTAGGTGTTAACTCATTGCCCAGTGAGCGAGTTAGGTGTTAACTCACCCTCTGGGCCCCACCCCTGCCCGTTACATTTTCCAAGCAACAGGACCCACCACCCAACTAATTTAGACACCCAGGACTAGTGCTGCCTTCCAGATTCTCCCACGGTCCAAGCACTCTCTCCTACAGCTCCAACCTTCTGGATATATACTTGACCTCCTCAGGGAAGAAGACAGCTGAAGCCTTCAAAAACATCTATTCAATGCAGGTTCCAAAAACTAATGACTCTAACAAGCACAGATACATAGATAAATGCAGACAAAATAATAACTATACATGTTTGTCTCAATTCCTGCAGCACACTCAGCTGCTCTTTGGACTTATATCAGAGTCCTTTCAGGAGTCCAGGGCTCCACCCTCCTCCAAGTAACTTGCTCCAAAGCCTAAAATAGTTTCTCCAGTAGCCCAGGCTTCCTTTTATACTCTCCACATCCCTTTCTCAGGTAGCCTCCTAATGAGCCTCATCAGGTGATCAAAGCCAATACCAAGGAACTGCTGCTTAGTCACTTCCCCTGTGGAATTCACCTTTGAAAAGCTGGTTTGGCCTGGGCATTTGCCAAGTTTAACCACCCTCCTTTGTCATAAAGTGCAAACATTTCTCCTGTGTTTGACTTCAAGGAGGCTAAGGACAGCAGGGAGAGCAAACCAGCTCAGCATTATAACCAGAGCTTGAAATCTGACACAGATATGCAGAGGGTCTAAAATATCAAAGAGAATCCATACACTTGATATAGACTCCTCAGACCATTACAGATTAAAACCCAACATGCAAAAACTGCAAGCATCTGCAGCCTTTTCCATAGCCTTCAGCAGTCTATAGAAGTTCTGATGCAAAGGACTGTCTTCTAGTAGAAGCCAGCCTGCATCGCATCTCTTTGCTGAAGGATGTGCATTGAGGGAAGGATGGGTTGAAACCAGCCCTGAGTTCCTTGTGTGCTGTTGGCACCGAGTTCCCAAGTATGTAAGAGGTTAGATATATATAACCTGATAGAGAGAGAAATATTTTTACAAAAAAAGAAAAACCTCTCTCTCTACTTAGCCTTTACAGCCGTTCCTTATAGGGCTGGCCACCTGCCTACGTCCCCATTTACACAGGGATAAGGCAGGCTGTAGGCATGACATCACAACAGAGCCCTGCTGTTCCTTCATAATGGCTGAATCTGGGTACATGCCATCTCTCAGTGCCCAGTGAGCCCTGTCAGGACAAGATCGGACGAGGAACGGTGCGAGGGTCTGAATGCCTTCCAAACAAAGCAGCATGACTGGTAACTAACTGATCTCTTGCATCACGTTTTTGCTTCAATCCTTCTGCATCAAGTCTTATAACTTTCAGACGCATTCCCCATCCCCTGGATCGTGCTGCCAGAATCCCCAAGACGGACTGGCTCGCTGAATGGCTTAGCATGTATTTCCCTGGCAGAGGGAATGTGATATTTCAAGTAGAGAAATTACCTTTGATTCCAGCAGGCCCTTAGAGCACCCTCCATGATGGACTGTGGTACTCACATAGAAGAGCTTAAAAAACAAAAAAAAAAAAAATCCAAAAAAAAAATAAAATCAGCAAATTTGTGTCAGGCATCCCAGTTAACCTTTGCTGTCCAAAAAAAAAAAAAAAAAGAAACTCTTCCACGGTTGAGCACCAACCATGCGGACAGGCTGCTCAAGAGAGGACTTAATCATGATTAAGAGCCATCTCCAGTCTTGCTGGTAATTTCCAGGAGCTTGTAGTGTTTGGGTGGATATTAAATTTAACCAATTGATTCCTGAAGTCCATGCTCGACTGATGTTGCCGTTCTTGGAGGCCAAGACCTGAACCTGTATCTTTTGGTGTTGCTCCAATATTTGGTCCTTTAGCTCAAGTAGTTAAATTGCCAGGGTTTCCCCAAATTGTTTCCATTAGAGGAAGAAATCAGGAATTTCTCCAGTGTAGTCACATTCATCTGCCAAAGATGCACCCAAAGTCCCTCCAAGCCAAATTGAAAGACAGAGCAGGTTCCTTGCTGACCTACCTCCCATGGCAGGAAAGCAGCTCCAAAGCCCACAGGAGTAACACTACCACTGCTTACCCACCCTTCTCCCCTGCTGCTGATTGTAGTTGCCAGTTAAATAGGGTCTTAAATTAGCCAGTTCACGTGAACTATCTGGAAGGGGAATTGGCCTGTGCTATACGGGTTTGCAGCGATGGGCTCTTTTGGACCTAATAGCTATTATATGGTTTCTGCAATGTCAAGAGACTGGACTCATGTGGTCCCGACTCCCTTGTAGTCCTGTGTTAGCTGGTACATTTTAACTGCACTTGCTAACTCCCATGGACGCTGCCTGGTGTTTGTCAGGGCTTTGCCTGACTTAGACAATTTGAGTTAAAAACAAGCCCTTTTTCTAAGTGGAAACACATGTTTGGCTTTCTGATGTCTTGCAAGAAGCTCTCTGCCTCTCACACTTTTCCACCCCCAAGCCTTGCAAAATAATACCTTCACTCCAGGGTCTGCAGTAAAGTAAAACTATTAACCCACATTGTTTTAGCTGTATCTGGCCCACCTGACCTAGTGACTCCAGAAGTAAACCTCCATTGTTTTCAATTTTCTCACAACATAAAGGGCTTCAATTGCTCCTTCAATCCCGGTAGCAAGGGTAAAAGCTCAGCCTGTTGCTTTTATCAGGTCTGTGACTGTCAGCACCTTTTAGCATAAGGGTATTCTGCTCATCAGTTTTCTCCATTTCAATTTAGGTTAGATCACAGTTTACACCCACAGGCCCATTTGGTCACCAGTTTGGATGTAAAGAGGTAAAAAATGGATTGTTGCTTTTGACTGTAGAGACTGGAGTTTTCTAGTCACTTGGAATATACTGATCCATTGCAGGACAGCAAATAAGTAGCCAAAGCATTACTGATCTGCAGACCACTAGGCTAGATTCTGCTTTGATGGAGGATGACGGCGAACCTGAGCAGAGTTGCTGGGCTTTCCTACCTGACATCTGCATGAACCACGTGTTCCGGTGGTTAGACGACAGGGACAGATCCCGGGCTGCCTTAGTCTGTAAGAGATGGAGTCAGGCCATGTACGCGGGGTCTCTCTGGAGAACCAGAACCATCACCTTCCGTGGGATGCCTTCTAGGTTGCACACATCAGAGCTTGAATCTTCTCTGTGGTATGTCAAGAAATTTGGCAAGTACTTGGAACACCTCGAGATCAGGTTCCTGAATCCTTACCATGCTGTCTTCACCCGAAAATTTCAAGTGACTATAAGAGGGCTCCTTTCACGCTTGGGCAAATGTAACAGCCGCCTGGTGTCCTTAAGTATTCAGCACCTGGAGTTGGACAGAGTGGTCTGGAAAAATGGCATCCGGATTCAGTTCATCAAGAACTTAAGTACTTTCTTAAAAAGAATGGGCAAGCACCTTGATTATCTCAGTTTGAAAGGAGCCAGGGTGACGCTGGAAGAAGGCTGTGAGCTTTTGAGCTCTTTGAGCTACTTGAAAAATAAAAGCTTTATCTCTGAAATCAACATAGAAGATTTATTTGGTCACCACCTCCCTATCTACAACTGCTCCCTGTTTCACCAGACAATGTCCAAGTTCTGTAACCTGGTCATCCTGAGCCTCAATTACAACTGCATTTCCGATGATCTGCTGGACACGCTGTGTGAACATAATGCCGATTCTCTCTGGACCCTAAATATCAAGTGCCATATCCATGACCCTCATGGACAAGTGGTTTGGGGGATGTCCTGGGCAAACCTAGCCAAGAGAGCCCCAAAACTCAGAGTGAACTTGTTCTTTGAAAGCATCATGAAGCATGACAGTTTAGCCAGGATCCTGTTAGCAGAGATCCCTGCCAGGAGTATCAGTCTACGCAGCGGGTACTTCAGTGACTCAGATTGGACAATGAGACCCACCCTCACCAATATCTTGCCAGCTTACAAGCACATCCTACAGGTACGGTGGGGACAGAGACACGCTCCTCTCCTGTTACTAAGCTGAACGGGTGGCCGTGCCCACGTTGGCCTTGTACCCAACTGCTGGTGTGGAAGTGAAGTCCTGACTTGAGGTCAAAGCTCACAAGGCCATTTTCCCCACAGATGGCAAGTCCAGCGTGCCAGCTAAAGTCTAGTGTACCTAATGTTTCTGCCTATCTAAATTCCTCCAGTAGCTTCAGCTGGCTGTGTAGTTTTTCATTTCCATTGGGCGGTTCAACTTTGCCCTTGTGAACAGCTGCTCTTCTCCAGCCCAGAAGTGGTTGCATTTCTCTGGTGAGCAATAACACCCTTTCATATTGAGTGAGGATCAGTCTGTAAAAAGGCTTTGGGAACTTCACAGGTGGAAGGCTTTATGCCAAAAGCATTACTCCCTTTCAACCCTAGATTTTCTTTGCTCTCAATCAGCATGTATGAGAAAGGGGAGAAAACAGCCATGGGCCTGAATCTCACCTACATTACATGTTGGCCTACATTACAAAGCTCTGCTGGTGTGGCTATATTGACAGGGATGAGGAAAAAACCCCCAGCCCCCAGGCAACACTATGATATGGGCAAAACCCTGGTACAGACCAGGTGATCCCAGGAAAAGAGCACACTTGTTGGCATAGCTTATTATTTCATTAGGGAAGGTTATATAGCTGTGCTGGTCCTGGGTATGACCATAAACTGCATCCAACTGGAGGGCTAAGTGTGTACTTTTATAAGGTAGGAATAGGGCATGTCAAAACCCTAGTCCCCACCACCTTGTGGGTACTCCTTAGTTGAAGGAAGGCTAAGGGACATCATCCCGACAGAATCACACCCTTGCTGAGGCATTAGACAGTCAGCGGCAGCTCTAATCTACAGCTACAACCACCGAGGCACTGCCAGTCTGGCCTTTGAACTGTCTCGGTGGTTTAAAGTGGGGATGGTAGGTCTAGGGCAGCCTCCACTCCTCCATACTCCTGCCTAGGCGCATGTGCTGAAGGTCTTGGTGTGATGGTTGTGTAGACCTCTTGCACGTACACCATGATGCAGAGTATCAACGTTTGCCAAGTATAGCTGGGCTGGCAGAAAAACTCCTTCTGCTGGCGTATGCCGTGTGTCCGCAAGAGGGCTCTGCTGACTTAAATATGCGAGTACTGCTCTCGGTTGAGCTTCAGTAGCGTCCGTCCCTATGGGATGCTCTGGGTGTTGCTGTTAGGTACATATATACCAGTTAAGTGCCACTGTCCCAAGGTACAAAATGGAGTAAAAGGAGAAAAGGCTGGCTGACAGGATCCCCATGAAACTGCCACAGCGGAGAGGCCTCTGCTTCTGCACAGAAATTAACTGTGTTATTAATTTTCAAGAAATTGACCCTCGAGTTCAACCATGAACATGAAGCATTGGATGAGGAGCTGCTGCAGCTCGTGCTAGCATGTGAAAGGCTCTTCTTCCTGAAAGTCTGGGCCTTCCTCAGTGTCACATTTATGGAGCGGCTGCTCCAAAAACGGGCCGAAAGGAAATGCACCCTGTGCACCATAAAGGTACAAGCCTGTGTTGCAAAATCTCTTTCCCCTGCTCCTCTTCATCGAAACCCTCCACAGAAGGGCAGCCTCTGAAACTACTGGCGCAGGCTTCTTTAGATACTATTTCAACATGAAGTACAAGGATCAGGAGCATACTCCCAAGATCCACTGAAACATGGGTCTCTGTCCTGATGAGTCCCCGCAGAGCATAGTCAGGAAAGGTACTAACCAGCCCCAACATGACGGATGTACCTAAAAGTACACATTAAACCTTAATCCCATCCTTAAAGCCCAATAAGACTTATGTTCTGCACAGGGATGTTTGTTGAATATGGAGGGAGGACATAGCCTCTGCTGCTAGGGAGCTTAGCAGAACCCCGTCATCACAGCTGGGTTGTCACTCCAGCAGATCCTCCAAGATCCATGTAGATCCCAGGGGATCCACGGGCTCTGGGGACAGAGCCACCTGTTTATCTCATAGGGAAAGGAGCCTTCCCCACTCCCCGACCCCACATCAGACATTGTGAGGTTGACGTCCCAAACAGGAGAGCCTCATTTTTCACTCCCTGAGGCACAGCTCTCTGAGACAGCCCCAAGCCAAAACTGAATCGGGACTTCAGACCTGACCCCCATTTTCCAGTAGAGGGATGGCTTATCTAAGAAGCTGCAGCAGTCGCAAGGGCTTGTCCCTGTAACTAGCTGAATGGCAGAGCCTGCTGCGTGTAGCCCTTGTAGACGCAACTGCTCTCTGTCCACACAGGTCAGGATTTACACTGCCCGGCATGAGACCCACGAAGAGGACCGAATGCTGCGACACATTTACAGGAAGTTCAGAGACCTAATCGACTCAGAGCTGAATTATTTTGTCATCGCCTACCCCATGGTGTGAGCCACTGGTGATTTCTGAGGAGACGCAAATAAAGATCACTGACACCCGCAAATGTCTGAACCCATCCTTTGGAGGAAGCAGTGGGGAGCTCAGTGGGCTTAGCAGTGGCCCTGAAAGGGAAGGCTGCTAGAACTGGAATAGGTAGGAAGCAAAGCCTGAATCCCCTAGATTAAAAAACCTCAGGCTTTTTGCAACTGGGCCTTCCCATCCCACATCTTTGCTGCTCTGTCTCGTTTTTGCATTATTCTCACAACGGCACTGAGCAAAGCAGAACTCATTGCCAAACTCATTTTAGTATGCTTCATTCACAGATCTCTAAGGACAGCACTATTATTACCACTATTTTACAAAAAGGGAAACCGAGGCACAGAGATGGGAAGCAGCTTGCCCAAGGTCATCTGGCAGGCCAGTGGCAGAGCCTGGAATTGAATCTGGGTGTCCTGGGTCCCAGCATGCCATCCATTAGGTCACGCTGACTCGGCCAGCAGGTATTGGGCTACTGCACAAGCCACCAGAAAAACCATCGCATCTAAGGCTTGCTGGCATCCCTGCCAAAACGAATGACTTTATGTAGGAACTTCTGTTTTAGCCACAGCATTTAAAAAGCAGTAAGTGCTGAAAAGTGATGCTGGCAGCACCCAAAATAGATCAGGTGACTGTAAAAACAGGGCTTTCCTTTTGTTCCATAACTGTATTGTTTAACGGGGAGCCTCTGGAACTCGGGTATTCTTTGGAACAAGGGCAGCTGGGGACAGTTTAGGTCCATTTTAATTCACTTGTGAGCACACAGGGCTGGGATCTGGTCAAAGTTACCCCGGGGTAAATCCTGAGTTGGTAAGGGACAGCTCAGAGTTGCTCCAGCCTTGCTCCGGAGCATCTCTGAGCAGACGCTGGCCCGCTGTGCAGTGTGCTATCGCTGACGGCAGGGTCTCAGAAGTTGTTGATGGAAATGGACTCCCTCATCTGCATGCAGAGCACTTCATCGATGTATAGTGTGTTCTCCTTGACCTGGATCTCCTCCTCTAGGGACAGCTGCCGGCGGCTCAGGCCCTTCAGCTCTGCCTCAGCCTGTGCCCATGTGTCCTTTAATCTAGAAGGGAAAAACCCAGGCAGATACTGGTGTAACTATGTGCATCTTATGTGACAGAGGATCACTGCACACTCTTCAAATGAAATCCCTGGGGAGGAAATCTCTGTGAAGGTCCCATCAGGGTACTTCCCCATAATGTTCCACTGGGAGGTGGCCCATTCCTGCAGGAGAATGGGCTCTTATACTCTCAGGGACTCCTCCTGGCCACAGCTTGCCTGACCCACCCTTCAAATGGGGCTGCACTGGACAGGATATGGCTCCAGGCTCTACTACCTCTACCTTATCTGTGCTGGGTAAAGGAAGATACTGTAAATCCCTCTGATCCCATTGCAACTGCATCCTATCCCAGATGGTCGGGGACATGCACAAGCAGGGCGAGATTCCGAAATAGCAATGTTATAACACCCCTGCCCATGGTCTGGCAACTCTTCCCAAGCAAAATAGTTCCTCTACACCCTTTCCCTTGGCACCCAAGGACAAGGCCACAGAAGCGGCAGAGCCCCAAGACAGAGTCAGAGAGAGGGGGTAAAAGATCCATTGCCAGAGAGTCTCTTTTAAGCAGAGATCTCAGAGAGGCATAATACCTCCCCTGCCCCATTAGGTTCACACCTATTAACATTATTCCAAAAAGGTTGATAAACCATAAGGCTGAACAAATTGAGTCGCTTTCTATTACTGTTTTCAAGTAAAAGTGGATGGGAGACTTTCTACATAGTTATGTTGTACTCTAAAAATACCTTTGGGGTTTTTTTTCCAGAGCTGGAGCCAAGAGACTTCAATATAAATGCCAACAGGCATTTATATGACCTGTTCTTTTAGTTAGCTCGAATAATCATTTCAAGATCTAATGAGTGAAAACCAAAGCACCACTGCAATGTCTAGCTCTCTCTAATAAAACAACTTGAGACTTAGCAGGATGATGGGCCTCTGCTTATTTCGAAAGCCAGATGTTGAAAAAGTGTGCACGGACATTTGTATGTCAGTGTGGGGGAGATTTACTTCAACTGTTTGGATCTGCCCAATCACCGACACTCAGCTGTTCCACCACTCCACTTGCCTCTGAATATTGCTTGTGATCTCCTGAACTTCACTCATCAGCCGGTATTGCACCATGTCACGACACAGCTCCACGTTCGGACGATGGGTCCGGGCCTCCAAGCGGGTCTGAGCCACCTTAGCAGGTCCTTCTTTATCGGCAATAGCTTTCTTTAAGGCTGCAATGTTCTTCTCCTGGGATGTTATCTCATCCATCACCTTAACGAATCCAACAGAGGGAATAGCTACACATTGCCTCTTCCAGTGACTTCAACTTGATATCCTCTTTCAGAACTGCCACCATAAATGCCTCAACTCAGAGTCAGACAAGGTTCTTTGGGTAAATCCGATATCTTTTATTAGACCAACTCAAATAGTTGGAAAAATTCTTCTTAGCAAGCTTGTGGGCACAAACACCCTTTGTCAAGCTGAGGGTGCGAGGGTGTTTATACCCAAAAGCTTGCTACGAAGAATTTTTCCAACTATTTGAGTTGGGCTAATAAAAGATATTGGATTTACCCAAAGAGCCTTGTCTGCCCATGCGCTTGGACCAACACGGCTACAACCTACACCTCTCACAACTCAGTGTCATTTCACCTGCAGATCTCAAAAGTAATTCTCAATGGTGGGTGAAGATTACCACCACCGTCTTGCAGACGGAGTCACTGTGGCACAGTTTGCGGAGGCCAACATTTTTAACAGCAGTTGTTAACTTTGAACCTCAATTTCTGAGTATCCTATTTAGAACATCTAGGCCTAATTTCAAGAGACACTGAGCACTCCCAACTGCAACCCATCTGAGTTGAGGACCCAAGGAGCAGAACACCTCTAAAACCAAGGGATGAATCATGGCTCCATTGCACTGAATGGCACTGTTTCCTTGGACTTTAATGAGGCCAGTATTTCACCTCAGGAGACTTGGGCAGGGCACCCAAACCCTGAGAAAAACAAACAGGGACAGTTTCTGAAAATGTGGGTCCGAGTGACCTGCCCAAGGCCTCCTGGCACCAGGGGCTGCAAAGAAAACAGATCTCAGATCACCTCCGTGCCCAGAAGCATGCACAGTTATTAGTCTACGGCTGCTTCTCCGCTCCTGCTGCATAATATTTAGCATTGCGATTGAAAGGGATTCTCAAGCTCGCCTGTCTTCTAGGATGTGCAATCAAGAGGACTTGTGCCGCTTCAAATTGGAAAACAAATAGCACCTTAGCCACAAAAGTGCAGAAAACCCTGGTCTCCTTGAACTTCTAAAGCAGAGTAGCTTGAGCCTCCAGATCCTCCCAACTGGGCAGCCCCATCCTGCTTGCACACAGTCCCTGCACGCTCCCCTCTGGCATTTACCTTTGCCAGGTGTGTCTCCAGTTTGCTCTTTGCATCTTTGGTCTCCTTCACCCTATTTCGGAAAGCAACGTTCACTGTGTCGCACTGCTTGCGCAAGTCCCCGGCCGTCTGGGACAGGATGCTGTCGATCAAAGCCCTCAGAGCCAAGGAGTTGTTCCTCTGTTTGTCGGCCTTTTCGACATTTATGTTTGAGAAATCGATCCAGTCCTGAGGGCTCACAGAACTACAACGGCATCAAACAAAAAAGGTCACTCAGGGCGATGCACAGCCCATGCAGGTATTCATGGGCACGTGCTAACTCTGCAGGAAGGAAAGCAGAATAACACGAAAGAAGCATTATAGTATCAGAGGCCAGTGTTGGCTGCATTACAAAGAGATGAAGAAGAGAGGGTGGGGAACCAATTTGCCAATGTCATACAGCACGCCGGTGACCGAGTCAGGAATTGATCCTAACCCCCCCGAGTCCCCAGACTAGTGTCCCATCTGCTAGGGCAATTTGAGTAGCATTAAAGAAGTGGAACAGGAAGCTAGATTAGTAAATCCAGCCGCATTAGGCAACGACATAATGTTTTCCTTTCACTAATTGCTAACATCCAAACCATTTACTGGCACTGCTGTCCATGAGGAACGTTGCTATTGCTCAGGTAAGAGAGACTCGGGTAGTACAGCGATAGATGGGCAGAATTAAAAAGAAGCTAAGAAAACAGATGGAAAGCCTTATTATACACAGGGGCTAGGCTCATCCTGATATAGCAGGGATAGTTTAAGATGCCTGCCTACATAACAAGCAGCTCTTTATCTGTGGCAACAACCACTTACTTCCCTTCCACCTTCACTACATTTTTGGCGTATCTGATATCAGGGGTGTTGTTTGTCAAGTCGGCGCAATAGTTATCGATTGTCAAGGCGGTGAACTTGTCTTTCAGATCCATTTCCAGGTTGTATTTAGCTGAACGGTTTAGCCTGGAAGGAAAACAATTAAACGCCGTCAATCTGAAATCAAATGAAATAATGGCCTCCTTCATTCCTGAATTGAGGCATGGTGCTACTAACGAGTCCATTTTTGCCACCAGAGGACACTCAGAAACCCCCCCAGGGTCCACCCAGGAGCAGGCGAATTACATAAGGCCAATCTTATTTTCATCTGCAAATGTGACTCGTGAGCTGTCACTCTGGCAAGCGTAGGGCATGAAGCTGCTCCCACCGAGGTCAAAAGCAAAACACACACGGGTTTACATGGTGGGAGACCTGGGAACCCTGGACCTCATTGGACCAGCAATCTCTTAATAAACTCTCTGCTGAAATCAAAAAGGTGTGATCCAGTCTCTCAGAAGTCCTGAACTCTGATTTCAGCAGGTGCTTAGGCTCTCTCAGGGTTTGAATTTAGCATATTATGCATCTCGTCCTACAACTGCTCCATCAAGGCCCTCTCCGTCACGGGGCCCACTCAGTGCTCTGCTCCTTGGCTGGCCCCTCTATACCTAATTTGCTCATTGCTTTGTTCCAGCGTGCGTTCAAGCAAGGCCATAACCCCTTGGAGTACTTCCACTTCCTTTATCAGTTCCCGTTCCACTTCGTCATGGACCAAGTCAATCCCAACTCGCCTCTCCCTAAGAGAAAAGGGGAAAACACCATCAGTTTGTGTGATTCATTTGAGCATCCCAGCTCTGACGACCCCTATGCTAGAGCACACTGTACCCAAGGCATGCACTTGCTAGATCTGACTGGCAACAGCGCCTGATTTTCTGTTGCACGCTGTTGTGTCATGGGGTAACTGAGGAGTGAGTCAGGCCCTAGGATGGATGCTTCAGCATTAGCAAGGCAGTGCACCCATCCAAGGGCCTGACTTGCAACTCCTTTGGGTTCTAGTGGGGAACTGCAGCGAGACCTAATGCAGTCTGGTGCCCAGATCCCACCTCATGTCAACACCACGTGTGCATCTTTTCCATAGGTGCCTTCCAAACTCCAAATCATTAACAAGGGTAGCAGGGACTGAAAGGCTTATAGGCTTAGGCTTTCAAATTTCCACTATTTCCAAACTCAGCTACAGTGTTCATCAGTCACACTCACAATGGTAATTATTTCGAATGGCTCGATAATGTCTTATTCTCACCTGTTCAGGAGACACTCTTGAGCAATGAAAAGGGGTTCTCTGCAGCTCTCCAAAGCTTTCTCTACCCTTGTCTTAAAAGTCAGCAACACCTCTGTCTCATTAACAAGCTCCTCAAGTTTGTCATCTAATTCTTGCTTCCAGAATTTTATTTCTTCGAGTCTCTGCTCTGTAATAAGGAGACAGAAAATTAATTATATGCAGCCAAACGTTAACTCGTGGCCCATAGTTATGGACAAAACAGACTCAGGTTACGATAACTGCGGTGAGTTTATCTCCGAGTTCTTATATACCGTGGGTCAGGAAACCTGGGTGCAACTGACTGCTTGGCCACATGCCTCCCGTGTGTCCTCGGACATGTCAATGAAGTCATCTATGGCTACATTAGGTGGTAGTAATACTTTCCTGGTCTCTCCCATCTCACTAGCCCGCAAGTCTGACTATGCTTCGTTATACAAAGAAGCCACGATCTCACTGGTTTCTTCAAAAACTCTTGCTATGATGCTTCCAAAAGACACACAACCTGGTTGCAAAGATAGCTTCCTTGCCTTGCTTAACTCAATAACACTTAAATATCAAGCCAAGGCTGACTAGCTCCTGCATGGTTATAATACAGAATTCATCACAAAGTAGTGTTTGAAAGCAAATGCATCCCTATTTTTCTCTGGCATCAAGCAACACGCCATCAACATGTGCTACTACTTAGTGCTCAATACCAAGTGGTATCCCCTGTGTTTGTGGGTGTACCTTAAATGGTGCAAACCCCAACGATCCCAGTCACACACAGAGCAGGCATCGTCACCTATTTTCTTGTTGACGTCGCTTTGGGTTTTCTGAGTTGTTTTTTCGATTTCGTCCACCAGCCTCTGGCTCTCCTCTACAACTCGCTCCGACCTGGATCTCTGAGACTCTGCACTGGCATACTGGGTCTTGTTAGCGATGTGCCACTCTGAGGGAAAGAACCTGGGAGGAACTTGCAAGAGCTTTGCCATTGTCCTTTTGAAATCCCCGGGTGGAAAAGCAGGAACAAAACTACCACTTAGCTACTAGGACGGAGAACCTGAAAACCAGAATAACATTATATTGGGTCTCGGAGGCAAAGAAAGTGAAGCAAGGAGAAGACGGGATGGGTGCGGGGAACTGGAGTGCCTGAACGAACCAGGTGAAGACTTTGCAATGACTGGCCTTTAGGTGCTCGTTGTGATAGGGACCAAAAGCAGTCAAATCACATACAAATCCCTGCTGAGGGAATCACTGATTACTTGATTGCATGGACTGTAATAAACAGTTAGACCGTGTAGGTGTGACTGGGACCGATTCTGCCTCCCTGTATGTATTGCTCAGGCTTTTCAAAGCACCGCAGGGAATACAGGCATATGCACAAGGCTACCGATTTAACGCTGCGGGGGAAGCAGACATGAGTGGGCCAGGCCATCAATTTAGCTCTGCTGCTTGTTCACTGCATTGCCCCCCTTGCACAGATCACACTCTGCCTCTGGCAGAAGCATTGCTGTTCACCCTGCTGCCAGTGCTGTACAGCAAGTACAGCCAACCTGGCACAAAGGTGCCACAGGCAGCCTCTGTGTGTGGCACGTGGCAGGTCGGGGAGGGAGCAGAAAGCACAGGGGCAGCAGGGCAGGGAGCAGGACGTGACATAGCAGGTTGAGCAGAGGGGAAAGAAGCAGAAAGCATAGCAGCAGATCAAGAAGGGAGCACAGGGCTGGGAGCGGAAAGCAGAGCAGCAGAGCAGGCAGGAGAAGGGAATCAGAGTGGCACACTCCAGGGAGAATGGGGAGTTAATTTTGGGACACACCTGCCAAAAAGGTTGGCCCCCCTCTACCGTAAAGGCAGATGAAAGATCGTCTCAACATCCCTGAATAATGCAAGGGACAAAAAGGTACATTCCCACTCTCTTGACTAGGGGTGGGCAATTATTTCGGGCGGAGGTCCACTTACTGAGTTTTGGTAAGCCTTTGAGGGCCGCATGACAGGCAGATGGAGCAGATAAATATTAATTTTCTAAATTTTTTAGGGGCTCTGCGGGCCGGATAGAATGGCCTGGCAGGCCGCATTCAGCCCCGGGCCTTTTTGCCCACCCCTGCTCTTGACCAACAGCAACAGCTGGGCTTGCACCGTTCTCTCCAACCCTACCTGAATGTGTCAATATATGGGCACAAGAGGTCAAAACAAGGTTCAAGGCAGGAGGAAGTGAATATAGGGAAACCCATTAAACAGAAACATGAGACTCAGAGGACCCTGAAAAAGGTGGAGGAAAAAAAATACCCGAAGGACAAGGAGAGGAAAGAGCAGAACAAAGGAGCAAAGGGAAGAGAACAAAAAGGGAAATCATCATCAGGTATATCTGTTACTTAGGGAAATGTTCCCATTACACCATCCCAACAAAATGTATCAAACGGAGAAAGCAAATCCCAGAACCGCCCCCAATTGCTGGAGATGGGGCTTTTGTTCTAGCACTTCCCCAACAATTCCTCACCCTAGCACTGTCTCAGTCTCTCCCATCACATGCACAACCACAGCTATTGTTCAACACATAGATGTGCATGCATGCACATCCATCCCTCACACGTACAAATAAGCCAAACCTCACACATGCACGTGCACACACACACACACACACACACACACACCCCCAGCCCCCAACCCCCCTCTTTCTTTGCTGGACCAGTTGCCAGCCTGACTGTTGCTGACATGTCCAGCCAAATGCTGTGCCCTCAGCTTCCTTTACCAGATTAGCCCCAGGTTGTGCCTTCAGGCTTGATTCCTGCAGCAGCAAAGCATGTTTTCCCTTGGCCCAGAGGAGCAGACTCAGGGCAACCTGGAATGTAAACAAAACCGTTCCTATGGGAACCAACAACTTCCTCCCAGCAACAGAGGCGGGCTCTAGGACAGGCACACGGTCAGTCATGGCCCGTACATGGGTGTCACCATCCCCTCCAGTAGGAAATAGGCTATCTGCGATGCTAAGATTTAACACAACCATGTGCTGGGTTTGTTTGTTTGTTTAAGATTCATTATACCATCACATTTGCAGCTTTGGATAGGTGT